GCCGCTGTCCCCGGGGTCCTCGGCCACAGCTGGGGCTTTTGGTGGCTGTGGGTGGGAGGCCTTTGCCCGCGGGGTGGGCAGTGGGGCAGGAGGGGCCTGAGCTCTCCCTCCTGTCTCCTCCTACAGGCAGAGAAGTTCACCTGCGTGTACTACAGCTTCTCTGTTGGTAAGTGGGCTCCTCGCTCCCTGTGCCTGGGGGTCTCTCCCACACCTTCCCTTTTCCCCGCCTGGCTGCTTCCCATGGGCTGGAGCTGGCTGAGCGTAGGCGTGGTGGGGTGTTGTTTTCCTGCCTCCATCTTCCTGGAAGTTGTCTGGATCTTGAGCCTATCTATGGTAGATGGGCAACCTCAGGCCGCTTGGGCAGGTGTGGCACCAATGGCCGCTGGACACTGTGCATCATCCCTGCCATCATCACATATCATCATATATCTTGGTCCTAGTGCTCCCCTGGTGCATGTGCAATCCCAGAAATGTGCTAACAGAGCACGTGCAAACACCTCTGCAGGCTCTGGCCATCATCTTCCCTTTTTCCAGCCCAGCTGCTTCCCATGGACAGGAGCTGGCTGAGCGCAGAGGTGGTGGTGTTGCGTGGGGGGCAGAAGAAACCTTTTGTTTCCCATACACAGGGTGATCCTCTATCTCAGGAGAAACCTAAGCCAAGGCACACGTCTACACACTTGCACACACCCTTTGCCATCGTTGGGGCCACTGCCAGCATATGAACCAGGCTGTGGCACCCACTCCTGGCTCTGTGTTACTTGCAGGGCAGCCTCTGAGCCCAAGGCATGGGGTTGTGATTGGGGTGATTGTGCTGGTGGTGCTCCTTCTTCTGTCCTCGGGGATCCTGTGCTTCATGCTTTCCAGGTGAGTAGGAAGGAAACTGGTTCAACAGGGCCATGGGCAACGCCAGCCTCTTACTCAGGACTCCCCTTTGCCTTTCCAGGAAAAAGAAGTCTTTGCCCATCAAAGCTAAAGAGGATAATTAAAAAGGTAGGATCATGCAAGGTGGAACAGGGCCAGGGGCGAGCAAAGACAGGTATCCCAAGGGGTGGTTCATGGCTCAACTCTTGGAGGGACCCATGGCTGTGTTGTCCTCCCCAGGGGAGAGATCTGCTGGGAGGGGTATCAGAGGGGTCAGGCTGGGGGACTGCCCCTCTTGCCTGGGTACCTCTGGGGATCTGTGGTTGGGCACATCTGGGATGAAGGAGCTGGATGTGGCAGGCACTGCCCTGTGCTCCCCCTGTCTCAGACACTTGTGTGTGCAGACAGCTGTGGTGGAGCAAGCTCCCTGTGCAGCTGAGGGCACGCAGCAGCCTCTGCCCTGGGTGCCCTTGGTCTCCACAGGTAAAGGTGGCCAGGCTGGACATCAGTCACTCCAGCCCCTGCCCAGGACCACAGGAGACATTCAGAGCAGTGAGGGAGTGGAGAAGATGGGGAGGATGACCCCAGCTCCGTGCTGATGGCTGCCAGACCCCCTGGCTCTCCTCTGACCAGAGCTGGGGGACCCATCCAATTCAGCAGAGCAAGAGGAAAATAGGAGGCCAAGGAGGGTTGTGAGCTTTTTCTTCCCTCACTCCCTTCACCTCCCAGCTTTTGCTCCATGCTGATTTAAGGCCTTTGAATGTGACTTTCTGTAGTCCCCTTTTTTTAGGCTTTGCTTTCATTTTTGCTTTGCTGGGCGCAGGAACTGTACACCAGACTTCCTAGTCCCTGACACAGGGGCTCAGGCTGAGAGATGGTCCCTGCTCCTGCCGTGTCCTGGGTTCCCAATCCCTCTCCCTGCTCTGTCTGCTGATATTCAGCCAAACCCAGGGCTCTACTGGAGCTTGGCATGACTTTGCCTGATCTGTCTGGACAACCAATAAAGGCTTTTGATTTGGGGCTGCCTACCCCACTACAGATTCTGCCTGGTCCCCTCATTGCCCTTGTGGGGTCACATCTCCCTACAGGGACCAAACTGAACTTTGTTGAGGGGAGGCCAGGAGCAGGGCTGCTGTGACCCTGTGTCCCTGAGTGGTGCTTGACAGTCTTTCTGACCCCCAGGGCTGTGCTGGGCAGCTCTCACATGAGTTTGGATGGGATGCGTGGTGGGAATGAGTAAGGGGTGACGTCCCTCAATGCACATCTTGGGCAGGAGCGTGTTCTATGCCCATGCTGTGGGCCAGAGCCGAGGGACCTGTGTGCTCTGAGCTGCTTTACAGCCCCAGTGCCAGGTCAAACCTGGAGGAAAAAAGTAAAGATCAGAGGTCACCACCACCATGGCCAGCACAGAGTCTTTATTGGTGAGACACAGAACAGAGCCACGGGGTCAGTCCTGGCTCTGAGGCCCCTTGCCCTTGAGTAGCAAAGGCAGAACCAGTCTCCATGGAGCAGCAGCTCCTGCTGGAACCACATCCAGGATATCCAAGTTGAGCTGCTACAATGTGGGATTGCCATGGTGGAGCCAGACAGGCTGGTGGGGGAGCCTCTCTGGAGCTGGCAGGGCTGCGGCACCTGGGTCAGCATCAGGAAGATGAGGCTCCAGGAAGGGACTATATAGGGTGGGAAGGACCAGCCTAGCCTTGTAGGATTGTGGATTGTCCCACCCTTGGATCTTGTTGGCCTTGGGCTTCACGCTTCTCCCAAAGTAGGACAGATAGCCTGTGCTCCTGAGCCCTGTGGAACCTACAGTGGCTTGATGGCAAAACACAGGGTGTTGGCGGAGCTACCCCACTTTCCCTGGGGCTGTCTGAAGGGACAGAGGAGCCTGGATGGGACAGCTCGGTGTCTTCATCCCTGGCGCAGACAGGTCAAGCCTTGGTGCCTCTGCTCTGGTCTGCATACTTAGGCTGTAATTCCAGGTAAGTTCCTGAACAAACTCTGGGCAAAGGGTCAGGTTCCTGCTTCAAAGCCTGACCGCAATTTGGAGGCTGTCCAGCCTGTGCTCTCCAGCCGCAGAGGACCCTCAAGGTGGCTTTTCAGGGGAGTAAAGCATCTTGGGGCTATGCACACGCCTCTCCTCTCCTCTGGTTTCCACTATAACTGATGGAGGGCTGGCAATAGAGTCAAAGTCCTGGCCAGAGATGGGCAGTGGCCATGCCTCTACTTGAAATTCCCATAGGTTTCAAATGAATTCAGGTAACTGAGGGCTAGTTCGTAGCACAGCCCATACTGGTCCTGTGGACAGAAAGATGCACGTGAGAACCTGGTATCTCCAGTGGAAGGTCAGCCTTGGTTGCCAACAGCTTTCTGACCAAGCCAGGCACAGGTACAGCCAGCTCTCCTCCTCCCAGTCAAAGCCCACCTTCCCCTGCTGAGGAATCCCAGGCATGTGCTCCAGCAGCTGAGATCTGGGCTACCCCAGTGCTGGAGCCAGCTGGTCTCTGGCGGAGAGCCAGCATCCATGGCATGAAGAGTCTGCTGCTCAGTCCCATCTGGGGTGCTCGCCCTATGGTGGCCTCTAGCACCCAGACCAGGTGGCAAGGTGGGTGCAGGAGAGGCACCTGAGCACCCACCAGTGCAACCCCTGCTGAGCAGACAAGGTGGAGCAGAAAGGGGCAGCTCAACCCACAGGATGCTTCGGCGCCCATCTGGTTCTGCAGAACCTGCCCCTGAGCGAGAGGGTAGGTCCCAGCGGCAGAAAACGGGTTTTTCAGAGATGTCATCTGCCCCTGCTGCCCTCAGGATGATCTGAGCACATAGGTGCTAGGGCAGCTGCTGGGACAGTCCAGGCTATGGCTCTTTCTCCGGTGTTGCCATCCTGGCTGGGTTTGAAGTCAGCACCTACCACGTCTTTAATCAGCTGTCTGCGCCACCTCTTCAGCATCCTCACAGCCTGGGATACATCCACCAGCCCCTCGCTTTGGATCTGCTCACACAGGAAACTGGCAGCACAGAAGATTCCACTCCGGCTGGCACCATCCCTGCGGAGGAGAGCAAGGAGAGAGTCTCTTGTCCTGGGATCACCTGGCAGTGCTGAGCCTCAGAGCTGTCCCACTAGCCATGCAGGCTCTCAGGACAGTCATGTCCACAGATCCTGCACCCAGCCAGCCTCCTCAGGGAAGCCTTCCTCCCTGAACACAGCTGAATTCATGTCTGTATGTCCACCCTTCACCTGAGCTGAGGACGTTGCTGTGACCGAAGTTCACTGATGCAGCCTGGGCTGAGCCAGCTCTGTGCCATGGCTCTCCTCTGAGAGACATCACTCACCAGCAGGTGACGAGGATATGTCCATCTTGGCTCTGCCGATGGTGCGTCTCCACCTTCCCTAGTAGGCTGATGATGGTGGCAGGGTGCAGAGGAAGACGCTGCTGCATGGGCCAGTCTTTTAGTTGCCAGAACCGGACTTCAAGTGCAGACTTCTTGGGCTAGCGAGGAAGAAAGGCAAGTGCGTTAGGCAGGGAAGAAACCCACCGGCTTCACGGAGGGACAGCTCAGCCTTGCACACCAGATTGGGGAGTGGCTCCATAGTGGGATGGCCCACTCCCAGACAGTGTCTCTGTCCTTCTCGGTTGAGGGCTCAGAGCAGCAGAGTGCACGATAAGAGCTGACCACCAGGTGCAGCTCAGACTGATGCCTGTGCAGCACCTAGCTATCTGTAATAGCTGTCCCCATCCACAAACCACCAACAAGATGCACAGATTCTACCCATGGCTGCTGACCTCCAAGTTAGAAAGTACACAAATGTACCTCTGCCTCCAGCCTCACCCTCTTGGGATTAACCTCTCTCCCAGGGTGAAAAGGCCCTGCTCCTCCAGGAGCCCATCAGATTCCTCTGACTGTTGTGGCCTCTGCCACCCCTAGCTGTGACTTTGACCCCAGATTGAAGCCTGTTGACACTAGAGCCCAGCTGGTCCTCCAGGTCTGGCAAAGGCTGTTCTCAAAGGACTTTGCCATCTCTGCACAGAGCCCACCTGCTGCATGTTGGTGAGGGCAAGTGTCCAGCCTGTGAAGCCAACTCCGGGCTCCTCTGAGATCAGATGGACATGGAAACGGCCGTAGGCAGCTTCGCCCTGGGTGGGCCAGAACTCCACATATGTCTGGTGGGGAGACAGACGCGTGATCAGACACAGCCCTGACCTGCAAACGTGGCAGAGCTCAACACCTCACATCACCCATAAGCCACGGTGTGCACGTGGATGCTCTGCTGGGGGACCAGCCCTTGGTGCTGCAGCCAGTAAAATAACACTCCTGCAGAGACGATGCCCGGGCAGGGCTAAGCAAAACCTGAGGGATGCTCTCTCACTGTGAGACTGGGGGGACCCCTCTACCCCAGTGCCGCGGGGAGCTGGGAGAGGGGAGGGCTGCGCGTTGTCTACTGACCTCGTCCAGCTCCTGGAGCTGGTTCAGCACAACCACCGATGTGCAGGTATAATCCCAGACCAGAGCCCAGAAATCCACCAGCGTGGTGGGGAAAGGCAGCTGGGTGATGATGAGTCTGTCCTCATTGGTGTATGTCTGCAAAAACACACCAGGGTGGTGGGGGGGAAGAGGTTACACCATCCACACCCTGGAGACCCCTTCCAGCTCCTGCTGCCTCTCTCCAGCCAGGGCTCTGCAGGCCCAGGAGCAGAGCCCAAGGAGACACAGGGCACCCCAACCCTGCTCGGAGCAGGTTTGCACCCCACTGCCCCCTCAGCTCATCATGCCTGGGCTCTGTTCCCAGCAGGGAAAAGCCAGGGGCTGTTTTGCAGCCTGGCTGTGAAGAAGCCCCAGGGCTGGGACACCTCAAACCAGGGTGGCATAGCCTACTGCTGGGGCTGGAGCCTTACGTCGGCAAACACGGCGTTGATGTAACCCGGCGAGCCATCGGCGTTGAGGGAGGACATCAGGATGGGCCGGCAGGAATCCGCTGCGGAGGCAAAGAGCGAAATGAGGAGCCGTCCTCTCCCTGCGCAGAGGCATGGGGCTTTCTCTGCAAGTGGTGGGGTCAGCGTGGGTCCATGCGGCACGGGCTGGAGAGGCTTGGATGAAAAGGCACTGCCAGCCCCACTCCGTGGCAGCTCAGGGCTGCCTGACATGGGGTGTCCAAAACCCCACGTGCAGAGGTGCAGCAGGTCCAGCCTCCTCACTGCTCCCTGATGACTCGTCTGGGGTCCCCCCCGGGACAGATTAGACCCAGGGACATGTTTATCCTGGGTGTACCCCATGGATTCATGCCTCCAGCAAGCCCAGAAAGAAGCAGGGAAGGTGTCTTCCTCCCATGGAGGAACCAGCCTAATCTATAGTTATTACCAACCCAAAAATGACGTTGGACCTTGGTTAGAACTTGCCAGTGGCATGGTGCTGGGGAGGGAAGCAGCAGGGCACCATCATCCCCCTCTCAGGTGCTGGGCCGCAGAGCAAGGGGATGCCCAGCCCTGCCAGCGGTACCTGGCAGGATCCCTGGCTTGCGGTTCTTGGGCTGGTTGGTGGGTTTTTCTGCTTCTCTGCATGGCAGGAGCTGGAACAACTCAGAAAACTTCTGCAGGGCCTGTAGGGGTGATTCAGACAAGCAAGTCCCGCCTGTCAGTTCCTCCCCTTCTTCAGCCACCCCAGAGAAATGCTCCCCCATCTTCATCCCACAGCTGGGGAGGGGAGCAGTAGAGGGGAGGCACCACAGACCAGCCTCTACAGCACCAGACCCCCAGTGCACCAGATCCTGGTGGTACCTTAAACTCCTTCTCAAGGACACTGTTGTGCCTTGAGGTCTCAGCTTCTTGAAGGCAGCGGACATGGCTGGTGATGCTCTCCACTGGGACTCCGGTGTTGCCGCAGAGCAAGCCTTCGAGCAGCACCTCATACAGGAAGAGGTACTGCTCCTGCATGAGGACACGGATCAGCTGCACAGTCTGGAGCAGCTCCAGGAGGAGCCCTGGGACTCCAGACCACCAGCTCACTGGCATCGACCTGTGCCAGGAATGAGCCAGGTCCATCTTTCACCTTCCTGCTGCGGGGCCTGGAGCCCAGACGCTTTGCTCTGAGAAACAGCCAGCAACTGCAGCAACCCACACAAGACCATCTTCCAGTGGTTTAATGCTCCCTCTCAGACCAGACTCCTGCTCTGGGGAAGGACACCCAGAAAACCAGTGAACTAGTTAGTCCTACAAGCAGCTGGATGGTCCTGGCCAACCTAGTTTCCTCTGAAGGGTCCCAGCACTGAGCAGACCATAGGGACTTAGTCCCTTGGCCCAGGACATTGCTGCCCAGAAGATGCCACAAGGGCAGACATCCTGAAAGCCTGAAGCATATGTGTGTTTCGTTCCCGCTCCTTGCCTACAAGACAGCCCTTCTATACCAGGATGACTGGTGAATATGAATGCTGCTGGCAGCTCAGAGGGTCTTCGGGAAACATGGACACAGCATTGAAACGAAGATCCTGCAATATCTGTTACCTGGCAGCTCCAGTCCTTGTGGCTAGACCCTGAATGGCATGGCCAGTGTGGCTTTGCACGCCACATCCATGAGAAGGGTGGAAACAGATCTGCAGTCTGACAGTGTGCAGGGAGCAGTTAACACTCCTTACCTTGGTCTGCACCATGCTGACCCGCTGTTCCCGCAGCCTCTGCACGCAGTGAAACACATCCACCTTCCCCTCCGCCTTCCCCATCTTCAGGAGGAAGTCCAGGGCGATGAAGGTACCTGTCCGCCCGATCCCTGCACTGAGGACACAGGAAATTAGGGGTCAGTGGCACCCCAGCCAGCCTTACACCAGCACCCAAGCGCTTCCAGACCCAGTACCTGCAGTGCACCAGCACAGGTCCAGCAGGCGCTTCCAAGGCCCTCTTGTTCACCACCTCCACCAAGCACAGGAGCAGGGCAGGGTTTCTGGGCACCCCGTGGTCTGGCCACAGCAAGTAGTGAAACTGCTCCACCACTCTTGGGAGAGCACAGCCTACCTGCAAAGAGGGAGACATGGCTGGGAGCAGGGAGCAGGAACCAATCTGGAAACTTGCATGAAATATTTGCATGTCAACAAGTAGGGAGCAGTGGAGAAAACCACTTCAGGGGGGCACCAGCACACAGTGTTACCCCCAGCACCACCACCACAATGACGGCCCCGCTATAGCTCATCAGGCAGCAAAGGGCAAATTCATCCAGCACACAGCTACACAATTCACTTTGTTCTCCACTTCCCCATGCTGCCAACATTGAACTCAGAGCAGTAAATGCAGCTTATGCCCCAGAGGAAAAAAAAAAAAAATCACAGTGGAGAGTGTTTCCATAGTCACCAAAAAGCTGTGGCGTCCCCAAATGAGGTATTTCCTAAGGCTCGTACTGCACTGATGTGAATGTGGTCACTTTTGTTACCAGCCCATCATGTATTTTTATCTAAGCATCACAATCAGTTAGCCTGAACTAATGGCCTGCTACATGCCACCATCAGGTGCTCTTGGAGCTTTACCTTTCAGCTAGACTTTGCTCTGGGCAAGACAAGAAAAGACAAGATTACTTGCAACTGCCATTTCTTTATATTGTACCTGTTTTCCCCTCCTTGCAGCTCCTTTGGTTTCTCCTTATTACCTGAGGTACAACGTCATCAGAAGTAGCCATTATGTAAGTCATTATGTAAGTTATCTTAAACCATTAACTATCTGTTCAGGTTTAGGAGCTGTAAGTGACCACAGAGCTTCCATGGGGACCCTCTGCAGACTGGCCTAGGTGACAGTCAGGCACTAGGTGCAGACAGGCACCTGTCCCATCATCCTGGATGTACAGAGATGCCATTTTATACACTTTAACTGCTTTTATACCCTTTGTGGTGACCTCATCCAAGCCCTCAATGATGCATGCCCATGTGCATCATCAGTCCATATGCAGCTGGGGTGACCACAGGAACTGATCAATGGCCTTTGCCTGGCACAGAGGCCCGGGGCCAAGTGATAGCAATGCTGACCTGCCAGGGCTGGAGACCAGACAGGGCTCTCCACAGAGTATCTTGGCTGACAGCTCCCACCAGCTGCTGAAACCCAAAAGCATCCTGCATCCCCATCTCAGCTACATGCCAGGCTTACCTTCTGCAGGCAGAAGATGCGTGTGACAAGGCCTGTGGTAGTCCTGGTGTTGTTGAGTGTCACGGTGAAGTCCCCGTAGACCTGCTCCTGCTCTGGCCAATACTGCTCGCACTTGGTCTGTCAAAAGCAGCGAGACCGCTAAGCACGAGCAGACTCGTGATGGGAGCGTTGCAAGCCAGCAGTGGTGTGGAGCTGCTCTCTGCCCTCATTGACAGCTGCACTGGGAGCAAAGCAAAGCAAAGCAGGCAAGGAAGCCTGGGGTCTGGGGAGGCTCAAGCTGAGCACAGGCTGCAATGGTTTCTCTACCTTGTTCTGCTCCACCAAGCCTGTCAGCATCACAATGACTGAGGTCTTCTCCTGCCAGACCATCTGCCAGAAATCCACCACTGTCCCAGGCAAGGGGCCTTGGGGAGGAAAAGAAGAGCCCTGTGCCAGTGTCCAAGTCATGGGAGTGTAGCTGCTCTCAGTCATGGCTCAGATGTTCCCAGGCTATGAGCAGCCCTGGTCTTCCTACTGCCCTGGGACTAACACTGCAGAGCCTGGGCACAGCAGCACCTGGCAGGGGGTGCTGGGTGCCTTGGCTTCATCACCCGTGTTAGAAACTGCAGCAAGGAAGTGGGAGGGCAAGTAAACCCAGGTTACCACAGGGATTCACTGCTGCTTCAAGGGCTTCCCCATCCAGACCTCAAGACAAGCATGAGCTGCTTCCACATTCAGGGTCCTATTTCCTGAAGAGCATTTCTGCAGCTTTGCAAGGAGCCTGAGACCTCCTCACTGCTGCACAGAGCAGAGTAACCCATCTTGGCTTTGCACAGTTGTAAGGAGCCTGCCTTCAAGTGCCCTGAGTGCAGATGTGTGGGGCATTTGTAGGTTTGTCCCTGTCATGCCAGCTGCCAAAGGGAACAAGCCAGGCTTGTGGGTGGAAGGACCATGTCCTCAGCCTGGGCAGTGCAGGGACAAGCTCCAGCTGGCCACTGCCAAACTGCCAGAGGCCTTCCATGCCCTGCAGCAGCTGTAACCACCATACAAGGCAGAGGCTCAGGAGATACAGGACCTTGGACTGAGCCATTAACAGATCCTAGGCTGCTGTCCCAGTTCCCCACTCCCCAAAGTGCTCAGAGCAAGGACTGGCATCTCCTGAGCATGAGGGCTGGCAGCACCCACCTTGAGCTGCAATGAAGAAGTGTGGACTTCGGTAGCTCTGTGGGGAAAGAGATTCAAACAGCTCTGATCACATGGGTTAAACGTATAATGTGGAATGAAATAAAGGACCCATCCCCACAGGCATCAGAGCCCAGAGCCCTCGGCACAGTGTGTCCCGCAGAACCACTCCTGGCCAGCACAGAGAGTGGGTACCCAGGGGCTGCATCTCTAGCTCCTGTCCCCTCACAGAGGTCCCTTTTTGTTAGGAATGAGAATGGCACACAAAGCCAGAGTATGCCAGGCAGCTCAGAGGGGACATAAGGAAAATGACATTCCAAGATCTGCCAGCACTTGAGGGCACCAAGTGCCAGACCTGGTGCCACCCATGTGAGCGGCACTGTCCTCACCCAGCGCAGCCAGGCACCTCTCCTACCCTGCCCAGGCACCACTACCCTGCCCAGGGCAGCAAGTCCTCGCTACCTACATTCACGTAGCTGGCATTGATATAGCCATTCCCTGTGTCAGAGGGCTGCAGCACCACGCGGCAGTGGTCGTCTGAAAGAGAAAGGAGGTGGGAGTCAGTGGACTATCTCTTTGGGGCAGCAATGAAGTGATTGTTCAAGGATGTAATTTAGGAAAGCCCAGGACTGTCAGCTCCCTCCTCAGCAGAACTCTGGGCTTCAGGACATGTCCAGGGGTAAAGAACAGCTAATGAGACAAAGCATGACATGGCACAGCGGGAAATGCAACGTGGTGTCGCAGAAGACTGTTAATGTAATGGCCGAATGCCCACACCATGTGGGCCCCAGAGGAACTTTACGTTTTGGTAGAAGTTGGGTCACTCCCTCTGCTTTCCCATAGATAGCCACCTCTGGATGGGACACAGCAGTGTTCAGCAATGATTAACAACAGGAACAGGAATACAGCCCCTTGGAGGGCTGTTTGAGGAGCAGAACAAGGACTCTCCAACTGGGTATAAATCAGTAGGGCCAACATGACGATTTTGGAAAATCCCTATGGGTTTCAGTGGCCACAGAGGATGAGACGAGGACCTCGGCACTGCTGAATAGCTGGAGGGGCACCTACACCAGCCCCAGCGCCCTGCGCTGCCCAACCACCTCCACGTTCCTGTGCCAAGCCCTGGGGAGCTCTGCTTACATGGGATGATGCCCTTGTAGCGGTTCTTGCTCTGATTACACAGCTCCTTCCCGACATCGCAGGGATGCAACAAAGTGGAGGACAGTTGCTGCAGAGGAAGAAGACAAGCCCATTCCGCATTGGCACATGTTCTGGGGCTGGCCAAGGGCAACAGCATCACAAACCCAAGGGAGCAGTGAGTGCTGGGTGGACAGTGCAGCCAAGTAGGAAAGCAAAGCTAAACCAGACCTGATACTCCCTCAGACGCCCAGCGCCATGTGTGTCAACTGATTCATCCTCTGTCTGCTCTGCCTCTATTTCTGCCCTCTTAAACCTCTTCAGAGTCTCCAGCAGTTCCTCCACCGGGATCTGTGTGTCCAGCTTGCTCATACCTATGGAGACCACGAGGCCAGGAGTTTAGCATGTACCTGATGGCTGGCCCTGGAGCTCTGCAGCTGGGACTGGGCTGGCATTGCGGTGTCCAGGACCCCATCAAACCTGACATTGTCCCTCGCCACCCAGGTCCCTTTCTCCTGGGAGGTGTCGCTTTCCCTATGCCAGCCAGCTCTGATCCCCTTGTTCCTCTAGGGACCTTACAGAGCCTGTAAGCACCCTGCCTGTGCCGTTAACAGACAGCCTGTCCAGACAAGGCATGCAGGGCCTCAGCTCATACCGCACCTCCATGACATCTTCGCAGGGGGATAGTGCTGTTGTTCTCCCAGGGTTTTGAACTGTTGTACTTCCGCCTGCAAAACAGCAAGTCAGGCCCATAGACCAGCAGAAGGGAGAGACAGAGGAGAAGCTGTCGCCCATGTAACAGCCCTGCCTCCCACCTTGCTTTATCTCAAGGTCCCCTTGGACACTCCCTGGCAGTGCAAGGTGCTGGATGCCTCACAGAGAGCAGTGGAGGTAGAGCACATACTGACCTGAAGAGTATGAAGAGCAGCAAAATCCCCAGTGCCAGAAGTGCAAGGACCAGTGCTACTGTCATAACCATAGGCATCCTGCCCAGCACAGGCACCAGCTCCTGCCCTGCAACCAGCACAGCACAGACTCAGGCTCCCACACAGCGTGAACCAGGCATTTGGGAGATCCCACAGGGGCAGCTTCCCTCATCTCCCACCACAGGCTTTGCATTGGAGAGTATCTGAGCTGGTGCAGAAAGCATAGGTGCTTGCTTGGTGCCTGACTGCCCCAGCCATGGCCAGAGCCTGCAGAGGTGTTTGCACGTGCTCTGTTAGCACATTTCTGGAATTGCACATGCACCAGGGGAGCACTAGGACCAAGATATATGATGATATGTGATGATGGCAGGGATGATGCACAGTGTCCAGCGGCCATTGGTGCCACACCTGCCCAAGCGGCCTGAGGTTGCCCATCTACCATAGATAGGCTCAAGATCCAGACAACTTCCAGGAAGATGGAGGCAGGAAAACAACACCCCACCACGCCTACGCTCAGCCAGCTCCAGCCCATGGGAAGCAGCCAGGCGGGGAAAAGGGAAGGTGTGGGAGAGACCCCCAGGCACAGGGAGCGAGGAGCCCACTTACCAACAGAGAAGCTGTAGTACACGCAGGTGAACTTCTCTGCCTGTAGGAGGAGACAGGAGGGAGAGCTCAGGCCCCTCCTGCCCCACTGCCCACCCCGCGGGCAAAGGCCTCCCACCCACAGCCACCAAAAGCCCCAGCTGTGGCCGAGGACCCCGGGGACAGCGGC